ATCAAATGAATAAAGGCTGATAGTTTCGAAAGAAACTGTTTGGGGCTGCGTCGGTGGGAGTAACGAAATAATTTGGATATATCAACAAAGTTGAAGTGGTAAATTGGCCACCGTAACGATTACAAAAGCTGACGTTTCGAGCGTTAGCCCTTCGTCGGAGCGAATAGAGGAATTGTGGGTTGTGTGTGCTTTTAAAGGCAGAGAATGGAGCTACGTTATTGGTGGGAACATGGCAACGAGAGAAATATCGATATACGTATGAATTCATACGTATGTCGATATATTTTTCTTTTTATTTCCCCTGTTGCAAATGAATCTTCGATCCATTTCCAACAAGGGAAGGAGATATAAACATACCTTTTGCAATCGAACTTTCTTTTGAAATATAGGGTCACAAAACTTTTAATTTAAGTAGGAGTAAAAATCAATCGAGTTCAAAAAGAATATACAGTAAAACCATGGTGACCAATTCTACTAAAGAGTGATCTGTTTTTTAAGGCGCGATCCCTCTTTCAAGGAAAGCAACCAAAAATAATGACCATAAATTTCCCAACTCATTGAAGTTATAATGGGGGCAGACAAGTATTAATGAGGTGCATGGCCATATGTATTGGATTACAGTTCAAGGCTCCAAGCAAAAGAAAAGCCATTGATCGAATGAAACAAAGTAAAACGCTCAAATTAAATATTATTCCGACTTCACCCAGTGTCCAGAGCTTTGCAAGGTGAAAATAAATAAACATCGGCCATACAGAATGATTCAATAAAGAAACAATGCTGGGAGAAAAGTTAATGAAATTAAAGCATTTACTATTTTTTTTAGGCAACCCCCCTAACTGCATCAGTTTTTGAAAAGATCGCACCACTGCTAAAAACCCAGGTGTCAAAAGCAAATTGTTGTCCCTTTTCCTGTTTGAATTGATGCAGTTTTTTTCAGGTTTCCACAATGTGTACATTAACAATAATGTACATCATATTTGCATGAAAAAGTGCGACACTTTTCAAGGTAAACATTGCTTAATGATTTTAACGGTCCTGACAGCGCTCGCCTTTGAAAATGTCCTTGACACAAGTCAATTAGGTGTTAAGCATTTTCATGAGAAGTTTTCATTGGATTAAAACGAATCGGGAATGTTATATCATTGTCATCTGAGCCACATACCAAATGAAATTTGTCCGATGGAAGGCGAAACGCTGTTTATATCTAAGAGCCTTATTTTAACATTGGCCATCTTAAGAAACTTTTTATCACAACCAAGTTGATGAAAAAAATGGCATGCCTTCAACAGAAGCACATGTATTTAGGAGAGCAATGACACGTGTTAATTCTGTTTTTATTTCTATTATTTGCATAGCGAGCGCATAGTTTAAGGAAAAGAAGTTTTATTTGAGACTATAACATACAATTCAATTTATATGTTCTTGCTCGAGCAACTAAAGCCTCGCTATAATCCATATATGGTTCTAAATCTTAGAGCATAATGAAAAATCAAGACTTGCAGAGTTTAGTTATCTCCGCTTCATCAGAAGCTTTTCATCTAGCTTCATGTCAAGCAAGTTGACGAGTAATGCATTGTACACGGAATGATAACCGGATTTTCTCGGGATCAAAGGGCAGTGTGAAGTTTATGCATTATCGGACATTTTTATTGCTATAAACCTGCTCTGTAGTAAATTAACGACACCTTTTGAAAAGGAGCCTCTTACATTCTTGCTTCATGTCTCTTTTAAGGAAAGCGTAAGCTATAGGATTTATTCCGGAGTTAATAAGTTGTAAAGGGACTTTGTATCGAAAATCTTTACAATCACCATCAAATAAAATGATTAAACTACAACGCATGTATATTCCGTAACACAATAGAAACACACTCGTGACCAGTGCCACCCATTTCAATGCTGACCTACCCCGAGTTTTAACTTTAGCGACCCTTTGATTAAACTGCAGTTGTTTTGCTAAGTTGCGATCTCTAGAGTTGTGCTTGTGAACAACAAGAAACATGGAAACAAGGCAAAATATCAAAATAACGCACGAGATTACCTCGTACAGCAAATACAAATAGCCCTCGATTCGATCGATTGAATTGAAATTCATCAACAATGTAGTCAGAGTAAAAGAAAAGGAATTCCCCAAGATGTAAGAACAATCTGAGTTACTCGGTAGCGCTTCATAAAAGTCATGTATTTGAAAGGTTTCACGACGGCGATACATCGTTCCAATATCAAACTCAACAAGTTTGTTCCAAATGCGTAAAGTATGAACGGCCATGCGTAGATCGTAAAGTGGAGGTCATCATCGGAGATGTGCTCCTTTACCACTGCGTAAAGAAAACGGGAGGGAGCAGCAATCATCCCGACACAAAAATCAGTCACTGCTAGCGAAACAATGAATGTGTTGGTTTTGGTACGTAGCTGACGTTTATTGCAGACAAGGAAGATGACAAATCCGTTTCCAACCATCGTGAGCATGCAAAGGAACCAGCCGAGAACCCAAAACCACGTTTCCATTGAAACTCTTTTCAGTAGCTCTCTATGACTTTTCTCGATCGTTTTCTTCGTCACAGCGAAGAGAGTTTTCCACAGTCATACGAATGAGAAATGGTAACTGCTCAGTTTTAAAAAAGCTTTTATTTTATTCTAAACAAAACCATGTGGCTTCATTCACACTTAGCATTACAGTCAATTAATTTAATAGCCATTTTTTATGGTGTCTATTTAAGGCTCCAAAAGTCCACGCTCTTTTCAGACGCTTTGACACACAGAGTTTGACTTCTTTTGATTAGTTCTCTATATGCATGAAACAGTCAGAAGGTTTGATAACAAAAACGGGTGTTATTTTATTAATTCTATGTGTTCCATCTCAGAGATTATGGCAGATTAGTAATTTCGCCTATCAGTGTACACCAGAAGAGTTAAAAGTGCTTTTCGTGTACGCTGATTGGCTAGTGAGGAAGTGAAAAGCAAGTACTATTGACCATCGTACCGCCGATGAGACAGAATCGCGTTTGAGAGTTTTATTTCCGATAATTTTTCTGTATATTGAAAAAAAGAATAACTTTTTTTTTTTTTTTTTTTTATTTGTGGGGTATAACAGTTATTCACCTCAGTGTCAGTAAAAGCGGGGGATATTTACCACACCGGTTTGCAGCTCGGTAAATATCGATGACCACTATTTACCCTTGTTTCGATGAATAATTGTTACATAGTTTGAAGAATATAAGAATGAGGAGAATTTACCCTGTTTTATCGGTGAAATTAAATGAAATTCGTATACAGTTGAACTGGGTTATTTATCTCAGTTCCATTGTAAGCTGGTTGGCTAAAAATCAACTTAGAAGATAAAATTTAATTCATTACACACGGATCCACAGGCAAATGTTCTCAGACCTCAGGGAAGCGCTAGGCTTACGCATGAAATCAAGTTTTACCTCCTCTGCAATCTCTTTTAGCTGATTTAGTTTGAAGACTAAGGCAAATCATTTGTACGTAAACTAATAAGCTTAAAATTATCGTGAAACTATTACATAGCCGTTTTCCTTTCCTCTGCTTTTTTTTTTCGTTTCTTTTTTTTTCTCTTTTTTCTTTTAACGAATGGACCTTAAGCTGCGAACGCGAGTTACCGCTTTATGTTCTTCACATAATTTTGATATGATTTTAAAATCTTGATATCTTCCTTTTTTCCCATTTGTGTAGGCCGATCAGAGAATGGGGATGAAACAAAAACCTGAGAAATTTTGGTTATAGCACAACGGGGACATTTTATTTCTATCCCAATTTCGATCTCATTAAATGCGTGAAGAAGAGGAAAATGTTCCATAATTTGATACTGAGTGGATTTGGAATAAACTAAACGGATTTTGAACGGTCAAAGATGGTTTTCTGCTTATCTTATTTGAAAACTGCCAATCCAAAGCGAAAAGTGATCAGGATAACGTATCATGTATTTTGTTTCTTGAATAAATCGATTTGCAAAGAAACAAATGAAATATAACCTCAGGTCATGTCAAATGGACAGAGGCCTTTTTTTGCAGAGAAAGATACAGATACAAAGTTAGAGTCTCAGGTCTGATTTCCACTATTGCTCAAATAGTGCTTTACTGCGAAGGATCGTTCTTATATACGTCTCATAACCGCAGTTCACTCATATGTTTCATATGTTTGTTGTTGTTCAATAACTTATTTTGATAAGTATTATACTAGTATGCAGATTATGTGTTCTGATTCGCTGGGAATGACTCTTCAGAAATTCTCCTCTACTTTGAAAGCTAAGTAAGGCTATGACAGGTTCCGAAGATATATTCGTCGCAATAAGTAAGGACTCGACGATTTGTATTCTAGCTTGACCCGATCGATATCTGAACAGTTTGTCTACAACGACGGAGAATTATGCAAGGAGAATCCTGGTACAAGACTCGTTAGCCTTAGATAATTTGATTCTGTCCGGTATTTTGTAAAGCAGATTAATTGCGTTCAAATTGCAAATCAAGATCTTAACTGAAGGAGTACTTCCGCCGCTACATAGTCCATTTGAGTTCAACACAAATGGCGATATTTCATAAAGAATAATCGCGACAAGAAGCATGAAATTCAAATGTACCAATCTTTGCTTGACGTGGAGGTCGTTTTTACAGAGTACACGAAAAAGGGGAACTTGCAACCAATCGTTGAGTAAACCAATGATTTAACCAAATCGGGTGGCCCGATTGGCTTCGTTTTCGTTCCTCTCACACGATCGAAGCATTGAGAACATCGAAACCATACTCAAGAAGACGAATGCAACAACACTTGGGCGAGCTCACCACGTTATGAATGTCATACATGTACATGTCACGGTAGACATGAGATTTAATTGATACGACATAAAACTGAAATGAGTCTCTAAAGGCAACAAAAAACAGGTTTTTAAAGGATGTTCAGAATCTACTCCACAGATTGCGAAAAAAAAATTAAATTTTTTTTAATAATTAAAATAAATGCGGTAAAGCGTTCCAAGACTAAACTAACGAAGTTCGTACCAGAAGCGTGAGCTGTAAACACTCTGGCATATATCACAAGTAATCTTGCCCTTTTTTTGGAAGCGCATTCATGTGCCATGGTGGAGAAGTGTGAGGAGACAGCAATCATCCCAACCCAAAAATTATCCAAAGCTAAAGACACTACGAATTGTAGTTGATCACTTCCGGTTGTCGTTTGTTACCCGTCAATCATGTAATTTCCCAGTTAGTAAGTTGGAGAGAGCACAGCTCGGCACGGTTGTAAAAAACTTGGAGTTCAACAATTAAACCGTTTCGTAAAAAAACACTCTAGCGTGCAGTCAATACACTACACGAATGTGTTGGTTTTACTGCGAAGCTGACGTTTACAGCAGACAAGGAAGATGACAAATCCATGTTCAGCTATCTTGACGATGGAAAGGAACCAGGCGAAAACCCAAACCGAAGTTTTCATTGATTTCCGTCTCAATTGCTGTACAGAGATATTCAGTTGCCCGTTCGTTAGAGCGAGAAGTGTTTTAAAAGTGTTTTAAGAAAGAAAAAATGCGTCTACATTGTATATTGTTAGGTTTTTAAACCCATCCGGCTCAATCTACTGTTTGCGTAAAAGCCAATTAGGCCAATAACCACAATCATGTCAGTTAAAGCTGCAAACATCATTCACCTTTTAAATGTTTTTGTCAGACGCCCTTACACACGGAGGTTAACGCCTGCTGTTTGTTTTGTTTTGTTTTTTTGGTTTTTTATCAAAAGCACGGACCGATCTGAATTTGATATCAAAACATGAATACTGTTTTATTATTATTCGTATATGAGAACGATCCTTCGCAGTAAAGCACTATTTGAGCAATAGTGAAAATCAGACCTGAAAAAAATTTCAGGCCTGTACGGGACTCGAACCACTGACCTCTGCGATACTAGTGCAGCGCTCTACCAATTGAGCTAACAAGCCAACTGGGAGCAGGCCATCAAATTAATTCGATATAAACCCGTAGATGATAAATCAAACAACAACAAACATATGAAACATATGTGTGAACTGCGGTTATGAGACGTATATGAGAACGATCCTTCGCAGTAAAGCACTATTTGAGCAATAGTGAAAATCAGACCTGAAAAAAATTTCAGGCCTGTACGGGACTCGAACCACTGACCTCTGCGATACTAGTGCAGCGCTCTACCAATTGAGCTAACAAGCCAACTGGGAGCAGGCCATCAAATTAATTCGATATAAACCCGTAGATGATAAATCAAACAACAACAAACATATGAAACATATGTGTGAACTGCGGTTATGAGACGTATATGAGAACGATCCTTCGCAGTAAAGCACTATTTGAGCAATAGTGAAAATCAGACCTGAAAAAAATTTCAGGCCTGTACGGGACTCGAACCACTGACCTCTGCGATACTAGTGCAGCGCTCTACCAATTGAGCTAACAAGCCAACTGGGAGCAGGCCATCAAATTAATTCGATATAAACCCGTAGATGATAAATCAAACAACAACAAACATATGAAACATATGTGTGAACTGCGGTTATGAGACGTATATGAGAACGATCCTTCGCAGTAAAGCACTATTTGAGCAATAGTGGGTTTCATAAAGAATAATCGCGACAAGAAGAATGAAATTCAAATGTACCAATTTTTGCTTGACGTGGAGGTCGTTTTTACAGAGTACACGAAAAAGGGGAACTTGCAACCAATCGTTGAGTAAACCAATGTATTAACCAAATCGGGTGGCCCGATTGGCTTCGTTTTCGTTCCTCTCACATGATCGAAGCATTGAGAACATCGAAACCATACTCAAGAAGACGAATGGAACAACACTTGGGCGAGTTCACCATGTTATGAATGTCATACATGTACATGTCAGGGTAGACATGAGATTTTATTGATACAATATAAAACTGAAATGAGTCTCTAAAGGCAACGAAAAACAGGTTCTTAAAGGATGTTCAGAATCTACTCCACAGATTGCAAAAAAAAATAAAATAAAAAATTTGCAAAAAGGTTAATTTTGATATGATTATTCAATCAGGCAGTAAAAAGTGAGTGTCAGTGAACTTAATTTTGAGCTATAGGTTCACAAAACTTAGATCTTAAGAAATTGTAGCTTTCCTTTAGTGATCTTTAATAGCGAACTATGCTGATCTAAAATAGCAAGAAAATAATTGCAGTTTTTTCCAAGATGCAATGCTGTTCTCAAGAGGTATAAATGCCCGGCTTGGGTCATATTTTGTAAATTGATTTGTAGAGCTGAATAGGCCCAGTTGTTCAAAGGATGGATGACGCTACCCAATGGATTAATCACCGTCAAGCGGATAAGCGCTAAACTGATAGAGACCACGCGGTGAACCAGGCGATCTATTACAGAAAGACAACAGTGTGAAAAGGAATATGATACATGTTTATTCTTTAATTTGTTTTTATGAAGAAGGCAAGCTTGTCGTTTCTTACGCACTTAAATCATCCCTGTTTCATTTAAAGTTGATGAATCACATGTAAGATGAGAA